AGTAACGTGGCTTATTCTCACTCATACAAGCATACAGTTTGGTTCACCCAGAACCCTTAACTTGAAGCACAGACCCTGAACCTATCAGTTCTGGCTAACCAACAGACACCTGAACCTATCAGGTTGGTACTCTGACACACAGAAGTACCCTGTCTGACACACAGACTCCCACAACAGCTTCTTCTTCCCAGCTGCTGCTTCGTCACAACCCAGTGTCTCTCAGCATCTCTCTCTCACCACACAGGCTTCACATTTATATACAGTACAGCCCCTCCTCCTGATGTCCCGCCTTCCACTCCCCATAGGATGGAACTTTCCCTCCAAACCCATGACAGACAGGTAACATCAGTGCTGTATGTAACACTATTTACCATCCATTTTGGATTACACAAATTTTACACAGGGTAGCAAAGAGGATTCAGTGGCAGACGTAATACCAGCTGCTGTGAGAAAAGCAGTGGAAAGCAAAACGTTTGCCTTCAGGAACCAGCAGAGTATTCCTAAATCTTCTGTGATTCTGGGTATTAAAAGGAAAAGACGCTTTCTATGTAGCTAGTCCAGTTAGCTAGTCATGAATTGCTTGCCGCATTTACATTTCACAAATGATAATATGTCAGTGGACGTAAATGATAAATACAAAGTTTACAGTTAGCTTAAACCTGTATTAACTTTAAAATAATCTATTTAACTGAATTAGGCATACACAGAATGTTTATATCTATATGTTTTTCATATTGGTTAGGCACGAGAACGTTATTCCTTGGGTTCTCAGATACCTAATCCATCACCCGACTCAGTTGAAGCTAACATAGCTCTGAACAGCTTGGTTCATTGTATGCATGCACTAAACAGCACAGTTTCATTAGAGCTGGTTCTCCTTTCAGGTCATTGTGCAAAGGTCACTTTCAGCAAAGAACCTCTCTCATGCGAAAGGTGGATCAGTACTGGGTGGATATTTGAAAAATTTCCCCATGTTTTTCATTGTAATGCCAGGCATGATCAGCAGAGCTCTCTTCCCAGGTAACATACCTCTGGCCCTAAGCACCTTCCAAGTGCAGGCAGGTAGTAGGGTGGCCACTTGAACATGTCTCCAAAAAAGGAGAACATGTATCAACAAATAGGAGACAACTCTTCAAAAGAGGACTGTCCTCCCTAAAGACCACCCTACTGCCTGATGGTATCGATGGTAGTGTTTCCTACAGTTAATGTTGCTTTTCTTTACTTATCTGCTACAGATGAAGTTGGCTGTGTAGACCCAAAAATCTGCGAGAAAATCTGTGGAGCTAAAGTCGGTTGTTCAAACATTGCTTACCCAAAATTGGTCATGGAACTGATGCCTGTAGGTGAGAGAGATGACATCATTCACCTTCACAAAGACGAGGTCTCTACTAGTAGTAGTTTGGTGATGAAAAATAACAGAATGCTCTTTCTCGGTTTTTTAGGACTCCGTGGTTTGATGATTGCTGTAATGATGGCTGCCTTGATGAGCTCGCTTACATCTATCTTTAATAGCAGCAGCACCCTCTTCGCCATAGATATCTGGCAGCGACTCCGCAAGAAGGCCACTGAGCAGGAGCTCGTGATTGTTGGAAGGTCCTCCTTTCATCTCTATGTTTGTTTGTTTTTCTCTTATAGGAGGCATTTCTGTGGTGACTCACTACAATTTAGCTTTTACATGCTGCTTAGTGCCCTGAGCTGTGTACATTATGTGCTGGTGTAGCTGGTTCAGTTTATGCTTCTAAAGAGGCTTCCTGTACTCAAGTGCCAGCATTCCTTTACTGAGACCTTCCTCTATGCACTTCTACTGGAATCCCATTGGGACCCAAACAATCCAGGAATTATGACTACAAACCCCATTAGGAAATTATCTCATATAAAGCAATGTATGTCTCTCAGTAGCACATGTAGGGTAGTAGAGATCCTGTTTCCAGCTCAGGCAGTGTATTTATCAGAGCTTGGAAATATGGCTTTTTTGTATTCCATTTTCTAAAATCTCCCAGACCATATGGACAGTGGCTTTGCTAGCTGTTGGGTTGTGGGAGTTGTAGTTCAATCCCCTCTCCCCATTAAAATACAGTTTTCCAAGCTCTGGTTTTGATGTTCAGGTAAGACCTGAAGGAATCAAAATTGGGTCAGATCTGTAATTCAGATTGCTAAGCCTGATACCAAACCACATATGAATGGGCAACTGTACATATCATACATATGGTGTTCTCTTGCTTCCGTGTGCGTTTTTGCATTGTGCACTGTTGTACATGCACTGTCACCATTTCACCAGCTATCCTGCATCTGTAAAAGTGATTTCAGCAAGTAAACATTCACAGTAGTAGCAAATGATTCCTATCTGTGGGATCTGAATTGTTTATCGGTTTTCCACAACGTCATGGTTATAGACTTTTGTGAAGTTTATCACATAACCCCTGCTTGTCTTCCCAAACAAAGGGCTCACGCTATGTCTTCCCACCAGCAGATAACAATTGGGACGTTTCCCCTTTTCTTCAGTGCCACTAGTGGATTTCCTTTATGTACAATATATAACAAACTTTAGACAGACACTTGTCAGTTTGCTGCCAACAGAACTTTTTTACTGAAGTGTATTAACTTTAATCTGAATCACTGATGTTATTTATTCAATGCATATAATCAACTCATTCAAATATCATATATCATGCCACCTTCACCACCTGCTCTATCTATTTCTCTTGACCAGCTTATCTCTATTATTATTTCTCACCATCTCCTTGACTATCTCTCTATCTCTCTCTGCTTCTTTCTCTTCTGCCAAAAAAACCCCCCTCTTATCTCCGCTGACTCCATGCAATGAGAACCAGACTGTGAGTGACACGAGTGATGTGGGGCAACCGTCACAACCTTCTTCGACAAAACCCTCTCTTACTCCGTGCATCAACACTAAACATGTATGTAGCAGTTTGATATCATTTTAACTGGCATGGCTCCATCCTAAAGAATCCACTGAATTCTCTGCTAGAGAGTCTGAGGGCTGAGAATTATGTTACAGACTACAGATGACCCATGCCAGGGTTCCATAGGATGAAGCAACAACAGTTAAAGTGGCATCAAATTATCTTTACTATACAGTATTGCTGACACAGCTGTCATTTGGTCCCCATGAAATATAGTCCCTAGATGATGTTTTATGGATGAACACTTGCCAAGTTTCCCAAACCTTTCCACTGTGTTGTGCAGTGGCAATACATTTTTAAAATTTTGTTTCCTCCGTCATTTGTTGGGAACATCTGACATTAGATTTTTTTCAAAGTGTTCTGAAGAAGTAATGTCCTTTGTTTTGCTCTTCCAGACTGTTTGTTCTGATTCTCGTCGCCATTAGCATCCTCTGGATCCCCATCATCCAGACGGCCAACAGCGGTCAGCTCTTTGACTACATTCAGTCAATAACTAGTTACCTAGCGCCACCCATCACTGCACTCTTCGTTCTAGCAATCTTCTGCAAGAGGATCAATGAGCCAGTAAGTACAGGATCAATGAGGAGGTTCGTATGAATAATAGCATCTCCCAGATGTCATCGTTTCATAGTTTTTAAGGGCAGACAAGACCATTCATTATGATTATATTGACTGACTTCTCTCCTCAAAGCATCTTCTATGGAATTTAGCCCCATTAGAGCACAACATCTCTTTTAAAAGATTCTTAGGACTTTGATTGCTGGTTTAACTGAAGGTAGTAATAAGATACAGGAAGCGAGTAGACAGGAGAGGGAGGAGGAAGGAACTTCAGAATATACAAGCAACACTTTTCTCACACAGTTTCAGAAAGCAATTCTTATTCTGAGGCTGAATTTCTCAAACTTTAATCTTCCACTTGTCAAATCTCTGTTGGTTTGAGACTTCAAGAGAGCAGAGCCTTATAGAATTATGTAGGAGATCTACCCACAGGAATCAAGCCATGCTTCAGTAGTCTCTTTTTAACAAATAGATAGATCTCCTTAGAATTGTGTTTCCCAGATCACATGACCCTCCCTTGCCTCACACTGAGAGGGAGTCCCACATTCCCCGAACCAACACAAGTGAATGTCACCTTGCCTTCCTCTGACCATCTGGGACTCAGCCCTCAGCTGTTCCAGACAGCAAACAGATCAGTACCAACCTTGTCTTTACTTCCTTGGCAACCAGAAATTGTGCCTAGCCCAAACACCATGGTACCTAAGAGAAGAATTCTAAATCTTTTTTAAAAGCCCTATACAACTGGACAGCCCCAAAATTGACCAGCTGATTTCAGGTCGTTCTCCCTACATCCCAGAACAATTCACACCAGTCTGAAAGTGGAGAGAGGAAAATATTAGTGCTAACTTTTTAAAAATCTTAAAAGATTTCTCAAGCCTAAGTAGGATTAATTGTTTGCGGCCTTCCACAGTTTGGTGTCCTTCAGGTGTACTAGACCACAGTTAGCTTAATCCTCCAGCTAGCATGACCCATGTGTATGTTAGCTGGAGATTATACTAGTTGCAGTGCAATGCATTCAGAGAGCACTAGACTGGGATAGGTCAATTTGTTAATTAGTGCACAGTGACCCATAAATGAATATTGATTTATTTTGTTGTAAATGAATAACTCTTTAAACCTGCGCATGCACACACACACACACAGACACACACACACACACATACAGAGAGAGAGAGAGAGAGAGAGAGAGAGAGAGAGAGAGACTATGTTCTTGTTCAAAGTGGGATATTATAGTCATGGCATTGCTAAAGAGTCAGACATATCCGAGATTCTTTCACCACACATCTCTGTATGTTTTATTTCCAGGGAGCTTTCTGGGGCCTAATGTTTGGGCTAGCAGTTGGCATCATCCGGCTGGTTATGGAATTTATCTATACAGCACCTTCATGTGGAGAGGAGGACCAAAGGCCAGCCGTGATGAAAGAAGTCCATTATCTCTACTTTGCTATTATCCTGTGTGCACTCACAGCTGCTGTCATTTTCTTTTTAAGTCTCTGCACACCACCAATCCCTGAAGAAAATGTAAGTGACTATCCAGGAGGAAACTGATTGTTTAAAAACACTCTGTTTTCCTAGAGCAGCCGTTCCCAATCTGGGCCTCGAAAGAAGTTTGAGCCTACAACTCCCATCAGACTAGCCAGCATAGCCAGTGGTTGAGGATGATGGCAGTTGTAGTTTCAAATCTCTGGACAGCGTGAGGTTAGGGGAGGATGCCTTAGAAGGCACTGTGTTTTGGTTCCAAGTACTAAGGTAAACAAGCTCTGTTTTTCAAAGAAGGTCTTCCTTCAAATGCTCTTGTTTCCTAGGCATTATGGAGTTAATACATTTCCTTGGTTTCAGTGATCACTGGAAAAAAGAGAGCAGGCCGGCTTCCATGCTGTGAGGACACTGCAGCACATCCAATCAAGGAGAGAGGCAGACAGTGGGGAGGAAATCATATTACAGTGGGTAGCTGAGGGGGGAACGTAATGGCTCTAATTGAACCCTCTTTCGTATTTCAGCAAAGGCGGCATCAATCTTGCAAGCTAACAAGATTAATATTGTTGGAGCACTGGCATTTAGAGAGAACATTCCATCCCAAAGTGATCTCAATTACATTGAACAACTGAGGTTTGGTAGCAAAGAACTTTATTTCATTTGCTCCATAAAACTGGCACGGAAAGTTTTCTTTTAGTGAGTACTTCAAGGGATGCATTGAATGCTTTCTCACATCACTGGTTTCCCTCCAAACAGTAAAATCCTGATCTTTGCTGGGCCAGCATGGTGATCAATGAAAATAATTTCAGCTCAGTAAACAAAGTGTGTCTCAATAACCTGGTCCTGATGAGTTTGCCTGGAAAATCCATTCATATTGGACTACAGCTCCCATACTCTCCTGCCATTGGCCAGGCTGTTTGGGACTTCTGCCAGACGAAAACCAAAATGTTCCCACCGATGCATTAGGGCTCTCTCCCAATCACCAGTACAAAATGATATGGAACAGGGATACATTCATATAGTTCCACATGTTTTCAGATTGAGCTAGAACTACTACAGTATGTTAGGTTGAGCCTGAATTAGTCTTTTGAGCTAAAGTCAGTGTTAGTCCCAAATAGAGTAGGCCTACAGTAGGACTCGTTAGGCATAGGTGAATATGTTCTAGTGATTTCAATTGGTGTACCCAGGCTGGGCCTAATATTAGATTTTGTGTATCATGTGTAACTGAAAGCCTGGTAGAAATGGGAGTTGGTTAGTAAACTTAGTTCAGATAACCAAACTAACATGTTGTGAACCTAGTTCCAATGGATCCATAGGGAGCTTCTATGCAATGAACCAAGTTGTGTGCTTGACATAATAATTTGTGCTTCTGACTTAATCCATCAATCACACCAGAACTTGGAAATGTTTGGAACAGAACGACTAGACTCCCAAGAGATACTGAACAGGGAAATTCAGGGAGTTGAAGGTCCAACATTTCTAAGTACTGGGTCATGCTCTGTTTTGTGACCATATAAGGTAGAGTGGAAGCTATATTATGAATGACGAATACAAGCAAGAACCTAACTTTTTTATTGTTGATTTTAAATATTTGTCTAGAGAATATTCATTATTGAGCCAGCAGAGAAAATAAATGAGTGAGTTTATATAAAACTCCTGGTTTCGGTATATTGCATGTTTTCCCAAGCGATTGTGATCAATGAAATCCTGCTGCATTTATAACGGTGGATTGAGAAGTATAATTTCTTTCAAGTCTAACCACTGATTAGGAATACAGGAAGCTGATTTACCCCTTGTCCCATGTAAAGCAAATTATGATCCCTCTCTTACTAAAGTCATTGACATGGGTACAGTCCTGAGCAAACCATATTAACTATTTAATTGAAATATCTATGGCATGCAAAATCAAAGTCTCTAAAATGAGCAGCCACTTGGAGTATTATTTAGTATCACCTAAACCCCCACCAGTCCTGACTTCTAGAAACAGCCCTAAGAGCCTGCAATTATATGGCAGGAAATCCTGCATATTAAAATATGAGTAAAAGAGCAATTTTATCTACTGCACGAAGGTGCTGAGGCAGGAGGGGCAGAAGGAATTACTCCCTGCCCTTCCTTTCTCAGGGCAATTTCCCACTTGCTTTCACATGATGGCCATTCCATCAGATCAGGATTTAAACTTCTAGGGTCCTTTTTAATAGAGCATATGGTTTTTCTGGCACTCAAGACTTCCTGTTGCTCCCTAAACTGCATTGCCATGACTCCAGCATCTCCTTTCAACTCTACAGTTAACCCTGACCATAGGCCTTCAAAGGGCTGGTAAGCACATACTTGTGCCAAACCAAACTTATTAGTCTTGAAGGCACCCCCAAGACTCTTTATTGGTTTTGCTGCGATGAATAAATATCCCTGGGTATATGTTTTCAAAGCTCCCAGAACTTCTCAGCCAAAGCAGCCACTGGCTGAGGGAATCCTGTGGAATGTCATCCAAACAAAGTACTTTTCCAAATGCTGGCCCTATATTTTCCTTCTCTACCAATTTGTGTAAGATAATGTGAAGGCCAATTCCCCTTGGAAACAGAAGGATAATATTCTGAGTGGATGACATTAGAAAATATTTCTTGGCATCCATGGGTTAATGCGATACACACACACACACACACACACACACACACGCACGCACACACGCACACACGCACACACACGCGGACCTGCCAACTTTCCCAGGTGACCTTGTTCTTTGAAAATAGCAGGTGGACCAACAGAGATGAAGAGATTTCTATCTGGTGTTTGAGTATTAGCATTAATGCACCAGGTTTTAAATGAATTACAGCCAAAGAACAGCCAGCAGAAGCATTTCCTCCTGCTGTTTTGGACACCCTCCCATCCCTGTGGTGATGGATGCTGTGCCACACAACAAATATGCAAAGAATTTGTTTGGTATGCCTCAGAGTTCATATGTCTTCATTGTACGGAGCCCACATTGTGTCGTATTGTCCTTGAAAACTCTGCAAAGGAGCTTACAATTAAATTTGAGGCTGTGAAGCTGAAATGCAACTGCCAGATGCCAGATGGCATTTTGAAGGGAAGGATTTATTCTAGCTCTGTGATGAGAAAAAAAAGAGTTAGAGGAGATTTCTTAGATCCTAACAAAGTTTGTTTCAGGACATGTCAGAAGAGGATGGAAGGAAAGGGAAACAGGCAGGGGAAGTGTGATCAAAAGACAGTACCATAAAATAGTACAAGATTGGGTTGGCCTTTCATTTCCTAACATAAGTGGTACCTTGCTACAAACTCATTTGGCAAAGTGCAAATATTAATCTTAGTTACTACCATCTGTGGCAAATAGTTATTATTTTGCATAGGACGAGCAGCTGCTGGTTGTAAGCATGAGCAGTTTATATGGGGAAAGCACATAACTTTGGACTGCTGTTGCTAATGCACATTAGAGCTTGTGCAAAAGTTGCTTGTAGAGATGGGGATATTTGTATATCGAATATTGCCATCTCTAGTTGCATGTGTTGTTTTGATATGTCTCCCATGTAGTGCAAAAGAACAGGAGGTCTGACCCAAGATATTTTGTTATCTGAAACAAAGGACAAGATGGTGCCCTCATCTATACTACATGCAGAGGCTGACTGGAGTGGCAATGAACCCTCACTTCAACAGTGGCAGTGGGATAGGATCTTCTAGAATACCTGAGGATGGCATCTTTGTTCAGAGTGTCCTTTACCTCAGAGGTCCTCAGCCTTTGGTCTTCCAGATATTTTGGCCTTTAGCTCACACAATTCCTTACCACTATCTATGCAGCCCGAGGCTTCTGGGAGTTGAATTCTAAAACATTTGGAGGGCCAAAGAATGGAAACTATTCCTTTACCAAATCATAAGGCAAGTGAGCTTCAAGGCTTTCCACTCACCTTGCATGGGTGGAAAAGAGACTCTCAAATTGAACTGGCCTGACTTAAAAAAAAGTCCCTAGAATTCCCCCCCTGCCTCATGTGAGCGGTGAGGCTTAAAAGTACTTTGGCACGAGGGGAAACAGCAAACACTGGCAATTGGATGGATCTTCTGCCACACCTGAGATCACCAGGCAGGTTTACGGTTACAGGACTGGGTGTACTTGGGCTTACCACATGAGGGAGAGAAGTGCCAATTGGTCTAGGCCTCACATTTAAGACTCACATTTAAAAATCCATCACAATGGATTGTCAACCTGTTTTCACATTCCTTCATTATTATTTTAATATCCTGGGAGCCCTTCAAAAAGAGGAGTGGCCCAGACCTTTCTTGACCTCTGAGAGTTTCTGCCCACAGCGCTGCCATTCAGTTGCAGTTTAAGTCTCCCCAGGTGCCTTTGTCAGCCACTGTGGAAAATAAGATGTTGAACTAGGTGGACCTTTGGTCGGATCCACCACAAGAAGAACTGTTTTTTATGTTCACTGTGATTCTCCATATTAGGGTTTGTTTGTTTTTTGGGTAAAAGTCACTACAGGGTTTTCTCCTGGAGAAAATGTCTACAGAACCAAAAGATTCAGCAGCAGTTGCACATCCTGTGTTGCAACTTCACAACTTGTCACCTCCCCTGTTTTCAAACTCTGGGTGCAGCAGGCAGAACTCTAGCATAGGACTTGAAACAGCAGGAAAGAGGAGGAGAAAGATGGGTTAAGGAACTAATGCAGTCTTGAGGTCCCCGATCTTTTGGTGCTGGAGGACTTCTCAGTACACAAAGGTTTTGTGCAGGCAAAGGCCTAGTAGCCCCAGTTGTTCAGGAATATGTATTCTGTACTTGAGAGATAAAGGATCTCTCATGAGCATTGCCTCATTTTTTTTTTCAAATCAAATAAATAGGCACACTTTACAGTTACAGCATTAGTGAGGTTTGTGGTTTAACTAATTTTAAGTATTTTGTAGCTTGTGCTAAAACTATTTTATTTAATCCTAATGTATGTCCTCCTCTTTTCTTACCAACAGCCATTTGTACAATGAAAAGGGAAATGTCTTTTGGATCCCTTTTGTGTCCTCCAACTTCATTACCTTTTAGATTTAATGAGTAACCAAGAAAAAGAAAGAAAGAGCTAAACCCTAAAAGGCTTCTTCGGAACAGATGAGGATCATCAAATCAAAGCAATTTAACACAATGTGACAAGAAAGATTAGCCTTTCCTGATGCTCATCTTGGTTGAAAATAATTTAAATAAAGCTATAAATCTTCTGGAGATTATACAACTTTTTGTGTCAGCTGGAAACTGCCTTCCAGATTTTATGCCTGAAATTCAAAGTATTAAAAGTACTGTTCCTTTATATAAGTGACCTTTTGAGAGTTACTTTCCAAGTGTACCAATGACTAACAGCATAATATAGTCTCAGCTCTATACCATTTTTATATTTTAGAAAAGCAGCTTTTAGAGGAAGAAACTTGAAGCAGAAAAACAGTAGGAAGGGAGTTCAATGCAATAGAGAAGATTCTTTTTTTAAAAAAGTAGTAGGGAAAAAAACTAGAACAAGAGACAGCTGCAGAAATAAAATGAGTTTTGTCACTATTCTTCCTCAAGGGAAATCTTCAGAAGCTGTACAAAAGGTATCTACTGTAAAACAATATAAAGTTGTATACCAAAAGATGCCACTACCCACACAGTAAACAGTTTTGAAGCTGCATAGTAAGCAACCATTGTTTGAACAGTGCATCCAAGTTGAACAGTCTGTGTTTAAAGCCTAACCTTGCCTGTGATGAATTACGTACAAAAAGTTGTTACATAAAAACCTTTAGTACTCAATATCACATGTTATATAAAAGTTATAAATTAGTTATAAAGTGGTCTGGTACCAGTAAGTAAGTTAACCTGTAAGTCTTAAAACTTGCCTAATCATTCTTGATAAAACTTCTTGGGACAGCTTTTCTATTTCAGCTCGTGTAGGCAGCCTAAAATGTAATCAACCCACCAAGGCATATGCCAAGTTCTTCCCTAGCCCAGATGTCTCTGTAAAATTTCAAGGTAACCAAATTGCAGTCTGTTCAGTAGCTGAAAGCATCAGATGCCCTGCCCTTTCTCTACACCAGGAACAGCATTTGAGGGTTCCATTTCCCCTTCCTCTTTTATGTTACTTTATAGGAAAGGCTGTGTTTTGCTAAGTTACAGCTTTATATGAATGTGATGTTAGGTGACCGTGGACTTTGTGGGATCTCAACCCATCACAGGGAAGCAGGACAAAAGCTCCCAGAGATACCTAGTGATTCCATAACTTTCATTCTTTCTTTCTAATTTGTCATTATACAGCTCGCCCGTTTAACATGGTGGACTAGACACAACAAAAAGGTTGGGGAAGACCTAGAGACGCACATCTACCAAACCATAGAGACTACCTCCACCAAGATACAAAATGATTTGGATACTATACAGTCAGGAAATGGAGACTTAGTATGTGAAGAACATGATGGTATGTCACCTGTTTCCCCCTACAACATGTATATGTTTTGTGTGTTCCTATACACACAATTTCTTTTCCAGGGCCCCTAAAAGCCAAGAATATCTTCCAATGTGACCTGGAGCAGATGATCTGATACGCTCTGTTGGATACCACCAGGTGTGAGACAAACTAGACATTACATGGCATCATTTTCTCCAGATCACAGAGGTCCCTGCAAAATTATTAGTTTGATCAGAGGAATGGCAGAAAGGGAAAGATCTTAACCCTTTCCCTTCAGCTGTTTTCTACTGTTTTTTAAGCATACACTATGTCAAAGGTAGGAGTTCATGTCTCTTTTCCTTTGTAGGTGGAAAAGTTGCTCTTTGAGTTTTTCTGAACAGAACAGTCTATGGTGAAAGGGTTAAGTGTTCCTCCCTTAATTCTTCCAGTACTCTACTGATGCTACCTTTCATTTAAAAATCATACATAAACATAAAAACAGTTTATGTATTGGTGCTGGAGGACTTCTGGAGCTGCATTTAACAGGAATGGTTGTATTTTAGAATAGACTTGACACGCAATTCTGCCTTGCCCAAAATGCTGAGGTAAATTTAGAAGAGTTTGTTGTGTGCACTGGAAATCTAAAACATATTGTGAATTTGGATTGTGCTAGGGTTGTGCACCAGGGGAAGAAAACTAAGAACCCTGTTTGGTAGTCTGAGAGGTAGTCAGTGTAGTCTGGGTCCTCAGACAGGTGGGACACCACCCTTTGATTTAGATGTGAGATCCAAGATGGAGCTTTGCTTCAGTCTTTTTGCGGAAGCTTCAAATGTCTTCCTCATTAGCTATAATGGAAAAACCAACAAACAACTCTGACTCAGATGTGGATGCAATTTGCAGACATCATACATGGCATCTCTGAATGGATAAAGCCTAGCAGATATCAGACAAACAAGTAGAGGGCTGTAACACAATGGAAGGTTTTAAGGAGGGAATGAGCAATGCCCAAGACCGTTTTTGTAATCCTCCCCAGAGTCCCCCAGAATTTTCAGTTTTTTTTTAAAGGTATTGCAATCTGCCACTGAAATGTGGTGACTAGCTGCTAAATCAGCTCCTTCATTCAATGAGGTTAAGTATTTCTTGAGAGTTAAATGTCAACTAAAACTACAGTTTTAGTATGAGTTGAAAGAGGATATGTTTAATTACTTTTAATTACAAGGATCTTCCTAGAGATTGTCTTCCTTTGTTATATGAACAGCCTGAGTAATCTAAGCTACTTTTGCAAGCCTATTTTTTTGTTACTTACTGTAAGCAGCCAGTTGCTGTTAAGCAAATTTTAAAGCCTGTGGTCCCGTAAATTAATTTAATATTATTGTATAATTAATGAAATTTGTTCTATAATGAATTTAAGGTCATATTTAATTATTTTAAGAGAGAGACCAATGGAAGCAGCAGGCATGGTGAAGAGTTTGTGCAGAAGAGAACCTGGGGTGTGTGAAGGCGAGGAGGGGAAGAGAGGAGAGAAGAGGGTGACTGTGCTAACTTCTTGGGA